CAGACATGATATCTTATCTAAACACTATTAGTACAAATATTTCTTCTCATTGGACTAAGAGAACGTATCAGACTGTCTTTCTTAAAGCTAGAAAGTGAGTCACTCTGTGTCAGGATCAGAATGCTAGAAATGAGGCAGCTCAGCAGCCAGGTCCACAGGGAAGATAGAGCTTCTGACAGCCTCATTTGGAAAAGCACTCTGGAAGCACGTCCCCATGCCAAAGTATTTAAATAAATGTATCAGCTGGACAGTAATATTTGCTAAGAAGAATTCTGTTTTGGATGAGAACTGTCAGAAGTCATGGCTTTCTTTGAGAAGTGAACAGCATCACGTTGGGACGAGTCTTCCGAACCCTCGGGACTCGTGACTGTTTCTCCTGTGCTGCTCTTTCCTATCTGCCCACCCACGCATTCATCCAGCTCTACCCAGCACCTGCTCAGTGCCAGGCCCTGTGCTGGGTGCTGGGGCCCACACAGGGATCACTGGGTTCTCATTTCCAGGACCACAGAGGGTGGCGGGAGCAAAGATGAACCATGACAAAGGAACAATGTAGTACAAGAGAGGGTGATCTAGAGTAGAAGAAGCAAAGAGAGGTTGAAGAGAAAAAAGGGAAATCATAATTTTAAACTTGTACTTTTAAAAACTGCAACTTCATATGGGAAGAAAAAAAATAAGATGTCAGAAAATGAAACATCCCCTGCTCATGGCTCAGAGGAACCAACATAGTAAAAAACAGCCATACAACCAAAATTGCTATAATGTAATCCCAATCAAAATACCATTAGCATATCTCACAGACCCAGAGAAAGCATTCCTAAAGTTCATTTGGAACCAGGAAAGATCTAGACTAGCAAAAGCAATTCTGAGCAACAAGGGCAAGGCAGGAAGCATTACAATCCCTGATGTAAAATTATACCTCAAAGCTTCAATGATAAAATCAGCATAGAGCTGGAAAAAACCAGACCTGACAAGCAGTGGAACAGATTTGAGCATGTGGGCAGAACTTCAGACACACTGAGGCACCTTACTTTTGACAAAGGAGCCAAAAATTATCTTGGGAAAAAAGATAGCCTCTTTGGGCTGGTGAGATGGCTCAGTGGTCTAAAGCACCTACTTAG